GCAAAATCAGCATGTCCCAGCATGTTGCTGTCAATTCCAGCGCGTCACTTGAACAGCCTTCAAGCACATTGAGGGACCCAGTTGTTTCAGTGAGATCTCAGCGCCTTCGAAGACTTCTGTGGCACCCTTCAACGAAACACAACTCTGGGAATGCAGTCAGGAGACAAATGTTCTCCGGCTTCATGTCTCGATGCGCGATGCCTCTGTTGTGAGCGTACCTTTTCAGAGGGAGTGTCCGATGCAATGAGGCTGGTGGGGCTTGGGGTTCTACTTTAGAGTTGAAGTGGAAGGGTCTGGATTTCAGGGCCCACACCGGATTTTGCCGATAAAGGGGAGCTGAGATGGCATCCACCCGGAAGGCTGGAAGGACTAGGCCCCTGAACTTCTCATCAAAACTGCAAGAGATGTGTGCCGCAAGCAGATCCCTGGAAGTATGTTTCTGCCAGGGCGCAGGAGCGCGCTTGCGGCCTGGCGCACGATCTCTGCGGTGGTCGACTCCTGGATTAAGCCTTGCCTCGGATGTGTCCCAGCTGAATGCCTTATGCAGTTGGGGGGCGGAGAGACTTCAGGATCAGGCATCAAAGTTTTCAATCCCTAGACAAGACTTCTACATCGTGACTTGCATGAGGACAAGACAGACAAATCAACATTGCTACGAAGCAACAATAGCAAGAGCAACAGCAGCAGCAATGCCAGATGCAGCAGAAGCAGCAACACGAATCGCAATGTGTTGACGACTTACCAAGCACAAGAGTTGACATTGAAGCATGACCTTGGCCCACAAGTGACCTGATCCCAATTGCGGCTTCAGGCTTGGCCGCGTGCATCTGAAAACCTCCGGAAGAAGCGTAAGCTCAGCTGAGCTGCTCCATAATCCGATCAAACACTTCACGTCCCTCACAGTACCTCGGCATCTGGACATTGACGCTGGAAAAGGCTGTTATGGGGGTTAAGTTTTTGTGTGCTTTCTGGATGTCTCACCGAGGATGTGAGTTTTGAAGGCTCTAGGCGCGCGAGTGTTCCACGGGGGAATCCGTCAGCTTGGGCTGTGCGATGTTCATACACCCAACACCGCACTTCCACGACCTGCATTCATCCCAAGCCAAACTCGAAAGAAGAGCCGTCGGACACCCGGCGTGTCCCATTCGGAGTTCAGAGCTCGATGCACATGGCAGACATAGCATGAACGAGTGGAATCTGCTTTCGAATCCTTCGGTTCGAGGCTCGAGTCGAAGCAAGCACCCGGAACGTTTCTAGATCCTTAAGACTTAAAGCTTGAACACAAATCATTACCTCAGTTTTCGACTATCGCTGCTGCCTTTGACTGCATCTCAAAAAGAAATGAGATCTCATGTTTGGCACTGAAGGACTCTGCTCCAATTTACATTCCCTGGAATTTGTGGGAGCAGCACTATCCCTGAACCTGGAAACCTATCATAGCGAACCTGCGCCCACTGACGGGCGCACTCCATGACAAAGAACATGAAGCCTCGGCATTGCTCCGGATCTCAATTCAGGGTGCCGTGGGAGGATGGGAACTTCCGAAAGTTCAGTCAGTGACACAGGCCTCAGTGCGGGGTCAGCCGTTCCTTTCTTGCAACTCCTGGAAGGGTTCACTGGTGGCCACTTCTTATATGGATGGCCATATGGTTGGCCATTCCCTGTCTTCGGATTTGGCTACTCCGCTCGGGCATAAGGGATCCGCATCACGCTGAAGCCCAGGTTCTCTCTTGGGGCTTTAGCTTCGAAGTAGCCCTTCGAAGCATTCAAACAAGCTCACACGCGCTCTTGGGCGCTTGCGGTCACTGCCTCTTGTGTGTTTCAAGCGTCCGAAGCAACCAAGAAGAAAAGGCCTGCGTACACCACTCTGCAAACAAACTGTTGCTGGGAAGCCGAAGGTTTCTGCTCACCCTCCCGCAAAAATCTTCAGACGAGGCACGCCCTTGCTCGTAAGTCTCCAGGAGCTTGCAGATGTTCGGATGGTCCAGATCCTGGCAAGAGCAGAGCCTAGGTGAGCTCCAGATGTTGATTGAACCAAAGCCGAAAACACCCTGAACCCCGAAATCCCGCCCGTCGGGAACCCTTCTCCAGAGATACTCAGGACTCGGCATGGGGAAATAGAGCGTAAACCCTCACCTCCTACCAACCCGGACAATGTTTCCTAACTTCATTGAAATGTGACTGTGTTATCCTTGTCTTGTTTAGTATTAGTCTTAGAAACGATGATCCGCTGTAGCACAGCCTCGTATTGCTGGTCCAGTAGAAGATGCAACAAATTCTAATCAAAGTTCAGCTGAGAGTTGACAGCACTCCAAAGCTGAGCTGTCTGGGCTTTGCCTGCTGAGGTGATGCAGGAGGAATTCAGCTTAACCGGAAGCCCAAGACGCAACTGAAGCGCACGCCTCAGGCGGAAAAGCAGCTGCCTAAGCCCTCATACCCGGCTGACATCCCATGAGCTGAACACAGCTGGGCACTAGGCTGCAAGCTGCAGGGCTTCGGGTTCTGAGGCTGCTAAGCCAGTTGCTATCCATTCCCACGCACCCTTCCTCATGTAATTGAATACATGCATTACCGTAGAAGAAATCGAAACGACTGGAGGTTTGCATGCTACGATGCTACAACTGCCGTCAAGAATTCTCTAGTTTGGGACTTTCGGAAACCACTTCGAGAATGAGAGCTGGAGGCTTCGACGGGCTGGGATTCAGGGCGGTGTCAAGGTCTGCAAACGCCGTTTTGCGGCTCCGCATCTCCAAGCTCCGCTACGCAGGTCTGCATTTCCAGGCCGACACCAAGGAAAGTCCCTACACGGGTATGTGCGCGTGGAATGAGGTGACGTGTACAAGATCTTGGGCTTGGAGAAGCTTGTGGTTGTCCAACACAGTTGTCGAATATCGACAGGGTGAACACCCACCACCCAATCTTCCGTCTTGCTTCTAGACCATGTGATTGACCCTGTTTCTAAGCCTATGCGCTTTTCTTCATCTAAACCCAACACCCGTACTGAGGCCCCGAACATAGACTGCTTTGAAACGGCGTGAGAAAAGAGAAGTGTGGTGTCGACCCGAAGCATCATGGGTCCCAATCAGGGTCGCGAGGGTTCTCGAGCTCTCTCCAGATCTCTTCAATCTCTTCGGTTTCCTGTGGGGAAGGCTCAAGTGTCTTCATGGCTTGAGCTCGGGCTGGGCTGCCTGCTGCGACCCCGACCCTTCGTTTGCTATGTTGGGTGTGCCCATTTCTTCCGTGATACCACTGTTGCCGCCACGACCACTAGTACGACCACTGCTGCTGCTGCTGCTGCTGCTGCTGCTGCTGCCGCCACTACCACGACCACGACCAGCAGTCTGACACTAACAGTACAACTACCACTACGATTACGACACTTGCTAATTACTCGAAATGAGACTGTTGGTTGGAAGCCTCCTTCTTGCCACCCATGAGGATGATGACGATGAAGAAGCTGATGATGATGATGATGCTGATGCTGATGATGATCGTCGTCGTCGCGGTAGTAGTCGTCCTAGGACCAGTCGTCGCAGCAGAGCATTTGCATCAGTAGTAGCAGCAGCTGCAGGTTTGGTGGTGATGGGATGGTTGCAGGAGGTGGAGCGGCTTCTTGTCGTCGTCGTCCCATGAATCGTGGCGCGGAGCTAATTCATGCATGTTCTGTCCTCGCTCATGCCCGCTGACCCTGACATCTGGAAACTGATTGTCAAATTCACGCGCCACCGTTTCGGCTTGGGTTCTGGAAACAAGGATCGTGGGTCTCTAATAATGACACATCGAGGACAGACTCAAACCAAAACCAACTGGAAAATCCGGTCGAGGAACCTGCAAGAAATGCAATTACCAATTAGTGTCTGTTTCATGCTCTTGCTCAGAATCTTGATTCTTGCAAATCCCTGGCGTTGACCCCGGGCAATATGCCATCCCTCAAGCCCACCCGTCTCCTCCATCATCTTCTGTTGCAGCTTCTTACACCTGTCTTCTGACATGATGCCCTGGATCCTGAGATGTGAGTCAGATGACACGCATTTAACATGAACCTGTGGCCTTAGTTTGCTGGGTTTCAGGCGTGATCGATCTACATTCCTGTCAGTGAACAAGCGAAAACCGTGCAACGGTCCCCCAAACCCTGAAGACCAGCAGGTCTTGCATCCTCGCAACTGGCAACAGCTGATTGCCCCAAGCTTAAGGTCTTCGGCTGTGTAGTTCAGTGCTTCGGGCTTAACGGGCCCCCAAGACCCTCTCTTCCCGTGACTCGGAACTCTGGAACCTGTGGCATCTCAAAAATGTGGCCCAAGCACATCGCGGCGGCGGTCAGGGTGATGCTCAAAGCCGGTGCTGCCAATGCCCCGCAGCTTGCCACCACCCCCGTCGCAGTGAGAATCTTGGCACGCATAGGGTTTAGGGCGTGGCACCAGCGAGCGGTCGGGTTCAGCGCTTTCGGGTTTGTTAAGTATTTGCGGAGCATCCCAACACCTCTGCTCCGGTACACGAGGAGAGAGGAGCATCAAGGCCTTGATCCTTGCTTCAGGTTAACTGGCAAGTGTTGCTGTCTGGCAGATGTGGCCAGCAAAATAAGGAGGCTGGGCATGCCACCTTGCTTCCATCCCTGATCCTCGAAACGCACATCCCTTGAGCCCCTGAAGTGGGTTCTGGATCTGCGGGCTCCGAAAACAGATCCCGAACAGCGAACCACAAGATCGTTACAAAGACCCCTAACAACCAGGTTTCAAGGTGACAAGTGTCTTGATAACAGAGAGGCCAAAACGAGCGCCCCTTCGTTTCCGACACTCCCAACCGTTAAACCTAACCCCTAAACCCGCTCCCCTAAACCCTAAGTGCTCCCAAGCCACACCAGTGCCGAGGCTGACTATGTTGGCGAAGCGATTCTTGCGCAGGTTTTCCAGCTTGCATTGGGCCAACTGCGCAGGCTTCTCAGGGCTGCAAGGTAGGAGGTGGCACTTAGGGATTGGGTCGCCGTGCCTATGATTGAGATATTCGCGGCATGCAGAGCCAGTGAAGGTAGCAGGCACTGCTGCACGGCCTGACTTTATACCATTGAGACGGTAGCGGTCATGTAGCTATGAGCCACCTACAGCCTTCAAAAACCCCGAACTACGTAAGAGCTTCAAATGATTTAGGACCCTAATGTACGTCTTGTTGAAGGGCACCCTAAGCAAGACGCCTGCTGATCAATTGGAAACCCATCTTCCGGCCTTGATCTCCGCTTCATTCACATCTGGGTTCAATCTTTTCAGCTCCCTCTTCAAATCCTCAAAGGTGCTGTGGGAAGTTCTCTCTGAACGAGGGTCGCCCAAAAGAGTCTCACTACGATAAGACGCTCCCCAACGAACCACCCCATGTACTTCAAGACATGGAATGCTGAGGCACTACGGGCGTTCACAGAAGGCTTTTCGTCATGCCTCTCCTGTATCCCATCTGGGATCTGTACCCCCAGGATCAGGCCAAGGCAAAGTTTCCAGATTCAGATGTGACCTGACCTGGACCATTGCCGGCGAATGAGGTCCTTGACTCCTGCTTGCCGTTTCAGCCCGCACAACGCTTGAGTCCCTGAAGCATGTGCATCGAAGGCTCTTGGATGTGCTTGTGGTCCAGGCCAATTTGCACTCCAGTCAGGACCCTGAGCTGGTGATGGAAGCTTAGGAAATACAACCTTGCCATCCGAAGGCCCTGCGGTAGACTAGGGTTTGCAAATCCGAAAAAAAAACCGTAAGCCATGCTTCGGGCACAAGGTGTGCGGAGGATGGCCTCAAACGATGCTGGAAATGCAGAAAATCCAACTGGAAAACACCAGCTAGTGCAAGAAAGCCCTTTAGCAACGCTGTTCAGAACTAGTCAAAGACAAGCAATTGTGATAAACTCAAGTGTGCCAAGGGGCAGTCCTACGGGGCCTAAGAAAGTGCCGGCTTTTGTGATGTAATCCGCCGCGGCCCTGGCTGCATCCTTCACTATCCTGGGAGCACAACAAATTCAGGGATTGAGAGTTTGGGGCTGCGAAGGGCCCGAGAGCGTTTCGGAAGACCCCCGCGAACCCTGAACCCCTTGCGGGCTTGGAGATTGGAGATTGAAGTATCAACTATGCTACAGAAGGACTTGGCCTCGGCGCTGCCTTGAGGCAGTTCAAAGGCCGGGGGCCAGGCCTCACAGGGCCTGGACGGTGTAGAGAACTGCTGTTCGACTGCTTTTGGCGGAGTCGGCATCGACGTGGAAGTCAACAAACACCTTGGCACAAGTCCTGTGGCTATCGTCACGTGTGAAACGTAGCTGCACCATCTTGTCCATTTCACCATGTCAGGAGGGATATCCCAAACCGAAGCAAGCGAAGCAAGGTTTCATCCAAAAGATACCTGGAATTCGGCGAAGAAATTGATTGCAGGGATCATGGCCAAGATCTCTTCTATCAGTCTCGGGTTGAGGGTTTCATCTTCCTCAAACATGAACTCCGTTTCCGAAACCAAAAGATCAGCAGAGACGGATGCCTTTCGAACCAGGCGTGTGGGGGTGTGACGACCGCAAGTAAGGTACAGGAGCAAGGACGGCCACGCAACTCAAAGCATGACAGGAGTAGCAGTAACACTACTGAAGCACTAGTCGATTGACGACACGACGGTTATCATAATCCTTCTACTGCTACGAGCTTCAATCAGACACTCATGTTCGAGACGTGCGTATATCAGGAGAACACTCTGCTGCCTTGTTGGAAAGAGGGCAATCGCTGCCATAATTAGTTCCATTTTCCCGGCCAGTGCCCCTCGAGCAGCTGTTAGAACCAAGACAGACTGCTACCCCCACGATTTCGGATAGCATGCGTGAGTGAGTAGCGCTTGCATTTTTCGACATCAAGGAAATAAGTGGAATTCCGCTAGGACGTTGCTCTTGTCTTTGAGATTCGTTGACCAAGTTTTCAGCCATTAGGGCCATTAGCAGAAACCATCTCGTGCTAAATACACACTGAAAGTCGCCATGGCTCTGCCCGATCTTGTCAACCCAGCCATGTGCCGACAAAAGGAAGCCGATCCAGCCGTTGTCCAAGGGCCGGGAGACGAGGCCCCGGTAGCGACCTACGGTTGCCTTGGGGCCGCAAGGCGGCCGTTCGGTCAGGGGTGAGGGCTCTGGGCTTTCTAGGCCCTTTTTGGGGCAAGGGCTCAAGGTCTCATCGGATGGAATACGGCTGAGGCTTTCAGGTTGAGCCCCGAACCCAAACCAAACTGCCAGCCGCAACATCCTCTAACACTGGGGGTGCTAGGGTCGGACTCGAGGTACCTTGCTTCTGTGTTTCGAAAACTGTTGGGGCTTGAGGCTTCACAGGCACGCCCAAAAACCTAGAACGTTGAAGGCACGCGAAGCGCAACCCGAACATCAACAAACCCTCAACTTGAAATCCTGCATGCTGCAGCCGTCGGATCGTGAGGCCCTCAAAAAGCGTAGGAAACCGGAACAGGAAAACTAAGTCAGGACTTGGTGACTTTGGCCGGTTTTCGGTTTAGGATTTCGGTTTCCGGGTGATTTAGAGTTGCGGGCTTAGTCTCACAGTTCGTGGAACTCCGAAACCCTGAAGCCGACACACCTCCGAACCGCGCAAACAGACTGCAGTCCAGCGACATCCTGTCGACAGAGCCGAGGTTCTGGTGGTTTGTATCTCTCCGGCCAGGAGTAGAGCGTGAGCCCCAGGAACTTCAGGGAATTGCTTTGTCGCAAACTGACGTCATTCCGGCTTGGGAGACAGATGCTTGGGGCATCGAGCTGTGGGGTGTTGCTAATCCAAATCTACCTCTTGACTTGGTTTGGGCCGATTCTTAAAACTGGGGATCCCTCATATCCGGATCCGGATCCTAATGACAAAGACAATGCTCAAAAAATGCCTAAGGGGAAGAAGGGGAATCAGCATCATTGCCGAAGGCAGGGTGAACAACTCGCATGGCGCATACCCTGGAGAAGCAAGCAGCACATAACAAGCCATGCAAGCCCGCTATGGGGTCCGATTTGCCATGAAGCCGTGCAGCCGCAGACACGTACGCGACAACACGAGCGTCAGCATCGGCAGGCCACGCTCCGACACGGACGGGTGGCGAAAGTTCGGCAAACAACGTCGCGAAAATACCTCAAATTTGTCAAAACATGAAAACGGAACCTTTCCCAACAATGAGAAAAAAGGACTCTCGAAACACCCGAAGCACTTTCGGAAAGACGACTGCACCCGCACTGTACATAAAGCAAGAGACCGAGCGCGCGAAGGGGGGGATGGGGGGGCAGATGGCGAGTCTCGGTAAGCCCTGGGGCCCCAAAACATCCGCAAACCCTACACCTTCAACTCCACCGAGCCTAGCCTGAATGCGCCGTTTGATGGGCTGGATCCTGAGGAGGATCTCATCGAACTCGGCCTCGTGCGCGTTCATTTGAGGCTTTAAGGCTTCAGGCATTGGAATTTAGGAAGCTCAGGATTGAGGATTTAAGTGTCAGTCTAGGTTTCAGGCTTCACGGTTTTCGGTGGCTTGAGGCAACCGGATAAAAAGCTACCGGGCTGAGCCAAACCCCATCAAGTGCGGCCCTCAGCCCGAATCCTCGCACTCGCATGGACCGATCTAGGCCCCATATCCTTCGGAGACCCGTTGGTTAACAGTCTGTACATCGCCTCCTTAAAGCCTTTTCGGGTTAAACTCTCCGTTAGTCCATGCCTCATTCAAGCAGACTGATCGCTTGATCGGGTTGTTGGTCAGAACCAGCTCCTCCGCATCTTTGAAGCAGAACACTACCATGATATCGTGACGATGGTGACTGCACCATGTGCTAGAGCTGCTAGATTTTATAGAGGTGTGCAAGTCGATTCTCAAGTGGACGTGTGAGGTGGCTTGGACTTTAACCATACTGGCCGTACTGGTAGGGTTCCTACTCGAAGGCTGCAGGTGTGGAGTCTAAGCGGGGGTGAAGCCCAGACCCCAAACCCACAAGCCAAAACCTTCAACTACCTGCCGTCCTGTCCAAAAACACCCAGTGTCAAGACAAATTAAACCTTAGTCACTTAGTCTGTGGGAGGGTTCCACAAGACATAGAGGCGGCAAAGCTTCAACCCGAAGCCCTGGCCCGGCCAAACCTCGAACCTGGCCAAACAGAACACCAACCTGCGAGACAACCCCTTTAGAAAAGAGAGAACAGCAACCGCTCCTGGCTTGCTCCTCGATGAGCTGTGGCTTGTTGCTGCCTTTTCTTCGATCTTTCCATGACATGGCTATCGCTTTCCAACGAAATTGGCAATTGACGGATGCTCATGTGACTCATGTGTTGCTCGTGCTTTCGGATTTTCAGGCTTGGGGTGGAAGTCTTTTGAAGCTGTTGTTCGGCCTGCGATAAACCCTAGAGTCAACCAACGCCCTAAACCCGGCGCCGGGGTGTTTGGGACAGGAGCCGACTGAGCTGTTGTGGAAACTTCCTAGCCCTCAGGCCCCATACCCCAACCCGACGACGGGAATCGACCCCAGAGTCCAAGCTTCTCTGCCGGAAGCAAGCTGGCCGCGGGTCGGGCACCTTCACAGACAGAAATCAGGTGCGCCGACAGGACCAGATACCTTGGCGAGGGAGGTCCAAGCATTTCTCGGCTTCCCAACCCGCGACCCCGAAACCTCTCCGCCACGGAAACAGGGTCCGACACCCGAGCAAAACTCGGCCCAACACACATCAACACACAATCCTACCCAAAGCCACAAGCTGCAACCATAAGACCCAAAATCTCATGACTCCAACTCACGAACCATCAAATAAATCCAAACACTCTTAGTTGAACCGGGGACTTCAAATCCTGAAGCCTGTGTTCCGGTCATGGCACAAATGGAACACGGAGACTGCTTGACGGCCCCGTGGCATGGCTGAGTGGAGAAATGGAGTGTGTCTCGCAAACGAAAAGGCGCTGCGGCGAGGAAACCCCGAAGCTCAGGAAATGATTGGGACCCTTTCCAAACTCCAAAAATAAATCAAATCACATTCCGCTCAACCGCCGAGAGACCAAAGCCCAGTGAGGGCCGCAACCGAAGAAATCCCAAACTCAAACACTCAATCCTAGGGCGTATACTCCAAAATCGGAGAACCGTCGACAGCTTAAAATGAAATCTGAATCAAGAGCCCAGAACCATGAAACCCCTGACCGGAACCCTGCGTCGCGAAGCAAAAAAAAAGCATTCCACACCTCAAATATGGTTGGCCCGGGGTTTAGGGTTGGGCACCTTTCCTGGGTTTGGCTTCAGACATGAAACCGAACTGAGCACCAAACCCGGGCACCGTGTTGACGGATTCACGCCCCAAGCTACATCCGACGCCCTGAACACGAACTCCTGAGCTCTGAAGCAGAAGAGCATCGGCTTTTCCAGACCTTACCGTCAAGGCTTGAGCCCCACCGTGCGACTCTCCAGAGCCTTAGACTGAAAGCCGGCGCGACCTTCATGATCTGAGCCTCCTGTAAGAAGGCCTTCTTCTTTGCATCCTCGAAGATGATCACCTCAGCTGCCGTTTTGTTCTGAAGGTGATAACAGGGACAACGGTTTACAGATTGGAAGCAGGGTTTTGGAGATGTAGGCATACTGGGCATGATTCTTGCAACCCCCTCTTCTGAATATTGAGAGGCCCCCCAAACCCACATGTCCCAGAATCTTCGTGGCTTTTCAGGTTCCAATTTCAGCCGGCTTGGCATGAGAGGTTTAAACCACAAGAGAGGTTTAAACCACAAGACTGCTTAGGGTCCCCTGTACAGGGGACCCTGCTCTTGTCAAGCTAGCTCCAGAGGCTTCTGTTGAACAAGGACCGTGATGAATGAGGCTTTGTTGTCAGGCTCTTGCTCACGTACTCAGCTGAAGTTACTTACACCCAATGCCATAATGAGAAAAACTTACGATCATAGCAAATTGAATTCCATAAAAGAACCCAGGCTGGCAATGCTTTTCGCTGATATATTTGGGGTTCGCAGGCTTCCCGTATCTACCGGGCCTTCTTGATGGCGACCATCCGATCCCGCATCGTGCGATCCCGGGCAACAAAGACCTGACGCAGCAGCGCCCTACAGATTCGGGATTCTATCGTGTCGATCTACAGCTCATAAGAACTAGCGCAGACCGTGTCACACACGTTCAACAGCATAGCATTTAGTACGCGACTCGTGCTGCAGATGAAGTCGTACGCTGGCAGAGAAGCACAGCCAGACATATCATGATTTCGGTCTGACAGCAGTTTAGTAGGGACTTCGAGTCGGAATGATGCGGTCCGTCAGCAAGACCTGCCCACCAAGCACTGTGAGAGCCGTCGGGATATGCATCCGTGTCGACGACATCATTGTCTACCAGAAAACCAGAGAAAGGATGCAGCATTCACACATATTACTACCACGCAAACCCTCAGACCCTAAACCCTGAACCAAAATACTGGAGCCTGGAACCCTGAAGCGCCGAACCCAAACCTTACGAACGAAAGCACTAAGCCACACCCTATAACCCCGAGCCCTCAACGCGTCACCCGGAGGCTCCAACCCCGGCCTTTCCGTAACCGCCCGAGCCGATCTCGTTCTTGTCGATGTCGTAGCGCCTTGCAACCACGCTTCGCGGCTGGGGGTTCTGAGATGTTCTGAGGGGTGGGGGGATTTGTGGTCTCTGGGCTTTTTTTGATCGGGGGCTTCTGTTTGCCCTGATCCGAACACCTCACGGTTCAAGTTTGCCGCGCATGCACTCTGCATCGGACATCGTTCGGTTCGCTAACCAAGAACTTTCTTAGCATCCTATGCATCAAGACAGTAACCAAACGAGGAACCATTGAGGAATGGTTACCATCCAGAAGAAACCAATTGCAACACAACTACACCTGAAACCCGTGCATGCTCTGTCAACCGTCGAACTCCCACGTCCGACGTCCTCCAACAGGGCTTCATGGGCTTGACGTGCCTCGAGATCTCGGCATTGACTCGCTTCGGCATGAACGCTTTCGCATCGAACTTCCTCTCGTTGTCAGAGGTAAGCGCTTGGCATCAGGGATGGCCAAGTTCGGCTGGTTGCTTTACCAGTGCCCTGCTACCTCACCCGCCACCGGTGCCATTCTCAGGATTCGTGAGAGTTCTCTGAGGAATTCTGAGGATGAGTTGGCAATTGCCGCTGCGATGCCTTCGAAATGCGGTTTGCCACTTATCTGGCATGAAAAGCCGACCGAGGGCCCTTTTCGCAAAGTGGCTTGCTGGGTGCTGAACACCGATAGCAAAAATCTTCGTCCAACGCAGCGAGCTTCAACAGGCAGTCGGGAGGTCAGATTTTTCCCAATGAAGACCCCCACAAGTGCCAGAGTCATGCCCACAATAGACAGGCTACAAACCAATGAAAGTTTCCGGGAGGCGCTCTCCCAAAACTCTGCACCCTCAAGCCAGTAATTCCTCGAAGTGTTGATGCACTCCGTCAGAAGGCCTTCAACAACATTCCAAGTTTCCCTGATCAGTGCAAGCCCGAGGCTCCCGACCTGACCCGACACTCGAACACTCGAACGCGGCCGACGTTGACGATACTTGTGAGACCGGGAAGATGATGACTGCTAGTTCTGGAGCCTAAGCCGCCTCCGTCGAACTTTCGACCTGAAGCGTCACCTCAACATCTCCACCAAAACACCGTGAAACCGGACTAGCACCATGATGTCAGTCGCAGTGGCCACTTAGCAGCCCACGCTAGAAGCAAGCCCGAACCTGTTGTCGTCCATCGTGCTAGATCTTCTTGACCTCTGCTTCTAGCTTTATGTGCCTACGGTTCAGGGTGTTGGGTTTGGGTGTTGGCGGCGTTGGTTCTCTTTGGTCCGTGGCGTGAACTTTAGGCTCGTGGCTTTCGGGTTCAGAACCGGATTCGGGTTAGGGCTGGTCCGGAGGGCTGCACCCGAGCACTCTTTGGAAAGGCCACGTTTCCGATGCTGGGTCGAGTACATAATAGGGGCCCCAATACGGCACCTGCAAAGAGACCCCGCCTACCAGCCTTGTGAAGTCTAAGAGTAAGGACACTAAGGGCTCTTTCATCCGCTCCCAGTGTTTTAAGGCAGCTCCAGAGCCGGACCTTCCCGTCGCATCGCTTGCCGGGGAAGAAGGATCCTCGGGAGGCGGCGAGGTGGAGGGCTGAGAGGCAGTTGGTTCTCCTCAAGCCGAGCTCTTGGTCGAGGATTCATGAAAAGTTTGGGGGACACCGAATTTTGGATTGAGGACTCAGGAGTGATTTTGGGTTTTGGGTTGAGAGCGCTGCTTACTGTTTCTTGCCGCAGCTAGGCGTTGGATCCTGGGTTCGGGCTTAACTCTGAAAGCTGCTTGGCCTTCTATGCATGGCCTTGCATCCAAACGAGCTGCGGTTTCTGTCCGTGCCTCGCGAAAGCTTTCCAGCACGGTTGAGACTTGTCTGGTGCGGTCGGTGCGGTGCCGCACGATGGATGTTTTGACAGCAGCCATGTCAATGAAAGTTGCACTGATGCTTCCGCGATGCAATTCCTAATCTCTATGATCACGAAGCAGAAGCAGCTCATTTGATGACAGATGCTCAGACTTTGCGGCCGGCTATTAGGTGGCATGTCTCTTTGTGTCTGACCTTCTTCATCTAAATACCAAAAACTGCTTAGCTCTGACTTCGGCAGACCTTGCCAACACTCTGTATTGCCAGCATTCTGCATGCAGCAGCATCTGCCTCGCTGTTAGGCATTCCCATGAAAAGATTTGTTTGCAGCATTGTTGAAGCGGAAGCGCAACACAAGAACTTGGCTGACGGTTTTAGGCCGTGCAGCCTGGAGGGAATGGGAAGCGGCTGCAGCAGCGGAAAAGAAAGCTTTGCCGAGGGCGCGGGGTTCCGCCCCGTGAGGATACGAAGGGCTTTCTCGCACGCAAAACTGAGAAAAAATGGTTTGACTCCGGAGCCTTCCCGAGGCCCTCGCGATCTTGAAGGTGACGCCGCGCTGTGGCAGCGTCGGCATCGCCATCTCCGGGCGGGCCAGAAGCATCAAAGGCCAGGTGCGGAAGCGCAAGCTACGATTTACGGCTTGGGGTTTCGGCTACAGACCCCTGCGCCTTTCAAGGGATGCCTTGGTATTTGTTCGCGTGGCTGCCTTTTTTGCTCCTGTCCTATAACATTCGAGCTTCTTGACACGCGCTGTCACAAAGATGTACGTCGACTGGCTGTCAGTCTTGACATACTACCGAATACTCGTTCCTGAAGTTCATGGCGCTGTCTCCCATGAAACGGCTCCTGATGCAGGCTCTGGAAGCCCATGCCCCAAACCCTAAGCCAGGGAACCGAAGCCTTGGATTGAAAGCATTCTTCAAGGCATCGGGGCCGTTTTCTGAAAGGGGGTTTTCAGTGAGGCTTCCGGGTTTGAAGTGTTGCACACATCCGGTTTGGAGTTTGCTTTCCAGGGTCAAGATCTGTGGGGGACTCCCTTCTTGGTGCATCTGCTCCAGCAGCTTCTATGAGCGCTCAGAAACAAGGTTCGACGTCCTGTGCATGGCACATCTACACCTACGAACGAACGAGCCAAACTTGGTCCAACAGATGTTTGAACATCTCCCATGCTGGGACCCAAATCGATACCCACTGCTGGTCCCTATCTTTTTTTGCGGCCTCCTCTGTCCAGCAGTTCCCGGGCACCCTTAGCATCATCTCAACAAGGGCTGGAGCGTCCGCTTCGCTCCTCTCAGGCGCCGCGGGAGTCGACTCGCTCATCCCTTCATCCTCCTTCCTCTCTTCGTCCGTCCCAAAGGCATCCCAAAGCCAGCTAGGCTTTGGGGAGAAGGGGCGCTCTACCCCTCCTCCTCCTTCTCCTCCTTCTCCTCCTTCTCCTCTGCGTTCTCCTGGTGGGACAGCGGTTTTGTCGGCACACACAAAACATTAGATCAGAACTTCGTAGCCGCCTCGTCTATGAAGCTCAAAGGCCAAACAACCTCTCGCTGACACCTTCTCGCCAACTTCAAACCGTAGCTGAGAAACCCTTCACCCAGAATTGGCAGATTGAAGAGCAACACCTGCACTCATCATGTGTTCGCAGCATCCTCCGTTTATCACCACGGACCATGACCCGACACGACGTGCTCTAGAGTCCTTTGCCTTGAATGATAGAGAGCCTCAATCACACGCACCCGAAAAAAAGGAACGTCATCTTCTCAACGCCCGCAAACACACCAGCGTGCAAAGGTGTCCAAGACCAATAGTTGCAGCCGCCTTAAAGGAACAACTTTCCCACAATACCACCACAAGAGACTGCACCGTAGAGCACGACATGCTGCACATTGCTGCACTATGCAACAGGGCAGTATGATGCATCATGTGCTACATAAGATCTGCACTCATGCAACACGCTTGAATATTCAGCGATCCCTGTCCAGTGCTCCTCGGCGTCACGCACCGCCTTCTTCCTTGCGGTTCGGGCTTCCGGGGCTGTAGGTTCGTAGGGTTTTGTAGTGATTCCCAGGGGCTTCGAGGCGTTTACTCGACAGGCTTTCGCTTGGAAAGGAGATGCTTCATCTCGAGCCCCAGCTAGAAGAGTTTTTTCGTTTGTCTTCTGTCCATAGCTGCTGCAGCTCTCCTCAAGACTTGAAGTTTCAGATGTAGCCAATGTAGAGGGTGTTACCTGTGCTACTCACAGGCCCGCAAGCTTGTGACTGCATCACGTAGCATGATCAGTCCGTCCCCTCGGAGGCACTAAGAAATTTCAAGCTAACAAACTGCTATAACATCTTTCTTGGGGAGCACCTAGAGAGACTCTCAGCCCGAAAACTTCCCACATCCCTTTTTGGGGCCGCTGTACTTAACCGTAAACGGGGCATCAAAGGCCGCCGGGCGTCTCTTCGATCTCGGAGAGTCCTTCCAGGATTGCCTGAGACCAGAACTGGTCGTCCGCGGGAGTTGAAGTCGGCTTTAGGGCTTTAAGGCTTAAAATTTTAAGGTTTGGGGCTTGGAGTCTTACTGGAATTTTGGGGTGCTTAGTGTGAGGGCTTGAAGTTAGAAGATTTGGGACTTGACGAAGTTCACAGCTGGACGCATCAGCAGTTGGAGAGTTTAAGGCTTCTTGGGCTAGGGTTTCGGGACAAGAGATCACCCTGCAAGATCCACAGCCACAGTCTCTACTCGGTCACTTAAGGATTTCAGGTCCCAGTTCAACAGCCTCTGAATGACTAGAGTGGGTTTTTGGCGGCTTCTCTGAAGCAGAAGTATCTTGCTTGGCATGTAGGAACCCTACGAAATAGTGGGCTTTAACTAACTATTCTGGCCCCTATATTACTTGAGAGTGCTGCGCAGAGAGGCCTTCTTCATGTCCTCCCGCTTCTCCTCCCACTCTTTGACCTTCGCCTGGCGGCTTCGGACGCTGAGTGTTTTGAGCTCGCAGCCCAGATTTTCGGGCTCCGCCGTACCACGGTCCGACCTTAGCTTAAGCTTCGGAGATGCATGGGGACCTGCAACCAGACAAAGCTTCCCACCCAAGATTGGGGACTCCATCAATCCCAAACACTACCTTGCTCTGAACCTCAAGTGTAGGGTTTAGGAGTAGGAATGCGAAGGTTTTGATTGATGTTAAGCACATGCGGCTTGAAATCTGGAGCTGTGGGTCAAGGGAGACTCGGAGAAAGCCCCTCTTGTTCCGATATCCATCGCCAAAATATCCCCACCGTGGGAGGGGGAGCCCAAAAACTTGGTCTGAAGGGACCTGCGTGAATCAGACTAATCGGGATTATAATTTGGTCTTTTTGGAACCTCGAAAGTGATGTCCTCTCCAAAAATCAGGGACCCTGAAAAGGACTCTAAGTCTTGCGAACCTCCCAAACCCCTTTGCAAAACCATTGTAAAATCCTTAAGGAAGCCCTCAATAAGAACTAGATTAACTTAAGCTTTAAATGGTTCTCTTGTAGGCTTTGCAATTGCTATTGCAATGGCTTCATCATAGCTTATATAGCCACTGTTTCTCCCTGAGCCTGGTAGTCGGCCAACTGCTCCGTTAGCTTCTCCAAAAGACCCGGCACCTGCTTCCGGGCAGGGCTCTGGCGTTGAAAAAGGCTTCGTGTTGCGGGCTTCAGGGTTTCTTGGGGCTTGGAATTTCGGGCTTGGGGCTGCAGGGTTTAGGGCTCTGAGTTTCGGGACCCCATAGTCACTCACAAGACTGCTCTTGCCCCAAACTTTAAAGTCCACAACCTAACGCCACACAGACGCCCAAGCACACCAGGCTCTTTCCTACGCTACCCAGCCTGGTCCGTCGAAAGGGGCGCATCGAGCTTGAGTTGGTCAAACCTCGGTCGGCTTTCACCCCTACGGGTAATCGGGGCTTTCTCGATCTGTTCTCACGGAGGAGAGAAGGCGGAGGTTGGGGCTCAGGGGCTGCGTGGTTCTGTTGATTTTGGTGGGTGTGTGGTTTACCGGTTGTTGCGTTCAATGCTTTGTTGGTTCAAGGGGTTTGAATTTACACTGGGTCCTAAACTGTGATCTGATTGAGTCTTCAGTAAGGAGTGGGTCGAGGCCTGACAAAACTCCGGTCAAAATCCGAGAACATTCCCAAGTTTACGGTATGCCGAGACAAACAGCCTACGTCTGCGAAGCTTCTGAATCCCACCGGATCTGGCATAGCAGTCGAAGAGCAAGCGGAAGGTCTCAGCGTTGTGGGTAATCTTTGCAGCCTTCGTCTCACCGGCTCCTATCGAAACGGCTTGGAGGGACGAGGACTGGGTGCTTCACCTCAACGCCAGCCTCCCTTAACCACAGACTCAGAGCAATCCGCCGCCGTCCACACCGTGCTGGCGTTGCTCACGTTCCTGCCCCTCCTGCTCTTCTAAGCTCCTCTTCATCGTCGTCTTACTTTGCTCGCGGCTGCATTGCGGTGGCACTGTGTGAAGCCGTCTACGTTAAGGTAGTGTTTGCAGTGATTATGGAGACGACGATGCTGCTGATGATGGCGAGAACGATTATCTAAACCTTCAACTGCCAGTTTCTAAAACTGAGAATCCCAAATAAAGACCTTCAGAGCCTTGTATAAGGGGCCGTAAAAAGATTACCGCATGTTCGAAACAACCATTACGAACTTCTTCAAACTCTCGAAAGCCACGAAGCTCAGGATGGCCCTAAAAAGCCGCTGCCACAGCAGAACGTTTACTTGACGATGCCTCGGTGTCGCGAGAAACAGGTCTCAGCATTCGCACAAGTACTTCGGGAAGGAAAATAAATGGAGGGGCCGTAAAGTTGCTATGTTGACCGAACATGTTCCCGGTCCTTTCTTCTTGTTCTTGTCCTTCTTGCCCTTGAGCGGTGCGAAGTAAAACTCCTCTTCGCGGTCCTGCACTTTGGCTGGAATTTAACATGGCTGCGCTGAAGTATGCCGAGCCCGGGCCTCCTTGCGCAGCAGGATCTCACATCCGTCCACGTTCTCGTGGGAAACCTCCTTCTTCTCGTCCAACTTGTCCTCAACCTGTCATGCTCAGTCGGGATATCCCACCGCCCAAGCGCAACAGCAAACAAGCCCCCCATCATGAAACTCGCGTGCGAAAGCCGGAAGCAGAAGCCCGAAACCAAAGGCTCGCAAGGCACTTCGAGGGCTAGGTACGCACTTCCAAACACATGTTGCACGGCTGAAGTGTTCTGAAACAGCACGGCAACAGTACATCTCCAAACTGGAAAGACCAACCACCCAAGAAGACCAGTACTTGTAGCGGGTTTGAGGCTGGCTAGCATAGAGCTTCTCCATCGGGCCGATAAACCTCAGGATTTCATGCGTCTCGGGCCCACCACCGGGTCAGGGACTTGGCCAGAACGCTGCCTAAGATAACCACAATCAAAAGACTCCTGCTTCTGCCACCAAGTCTATCCCACTGCTACAAGCGTGTTCCTTTGATGGGTTCGGACGAAATTGCTCAAAAACGCTGACAGATAATGGGTTCCTGGGTGCATGAGCAGGAATAAGAAGACCCAACCGCAAGAGCTCAACGGACAAATTGGAGGGATTGTCTTCATGATGTCCAACGTAAAAACAAGACTTGTGACGCTTTCGACAGCCCAAGCGGACCTTGGATTGCACCAGGCCCTGGCAGAACTTCATGGTCTGCTCCTTGGCTTGGATGCTCAATGGGATCTGAGGGCTTACGGCATCAGATATGATTGTGGCTTCTACGATCGGAAGCCATTTCGAAGCCAACCGTTCCGAGGCAGAAGGCCACGGGCGCAATCCCTCACCCGAAAACCTGGACGACTCCTGCATCCAGGGAGCGATCAGCGTGATCTCCGCAACATATGGCTGATCATCGAGCTTCTCCGCCTTTGGATATGGTCGAGGGCTTCAGATTCTGTGGTAGAGTTAAGGATTTAGCTATACTGATAATGCTGAAAGCTTCGATCTCGTAAGGGATTCAGAACATGGGCTTGGGGACTCAGGGGGGCTGCGTCCAGTCACTCCGAGTCTGACTCGGATGTGCGGCGTCTCTTCGAGCGTCGCGTAGAATACAAGGTCCAAGAGCTGATCATCAGGGAGGGCGAGGAGGATTTTTTGTGTGGCTCAATCCTGGGGCCTCCATTCCGAAGCGCAGGATCTGGCTTGGGCACCCTCTGTGCAGACATTGAACTCTCAATCACACCATCTCAAGGCACATGCCGCCTAAACCCCCACAGAAAAGCCTTGAAACCTCAGGGCGCATAGGGTCCCCATCATCCGGACAAGCCTAACAACAACTCCCCAAAGGGTCTTAGCGTTTTGGAGCGCTTTGCCTAACTTCATAAGGGCATGGTGACACCCCGAATCCTAAGTCCCAAATCTCAACGCCACCTCGCGCTGCTTGCGGCGCAGGTCGTACTCCTTCACTGAGGCAGCGTAGCTTTTTCACGACACTCCCACATCGAGCTGTAAATGCAACAGGTTTCCCGAAAACTCGGCACAGCCTGAAGCCCCATAGCTGAAGAAAACTCCAGGCCCCTCGCCCCTCGAACCCGCCACTCCTTCTGCCTCTCGGCCTTCTCGGCTGCATACTTCTCCTATCAAGCAAGGATCAAGGCGCGTTTTTCCCTTTCTCCCCGAAGGCCACGCGAAGGCTTGGAGCCTCTAGGCTTAGGATGTCGGTGCCCAACCAGAGGGACAAAAGAAAATCTTAGAAGAAGATCAGCGGGCAGTTTCTGCAGACCTGAAAAGGGCTTCGGAGACTTCTCAAGGCTTTGTCGATTTTAGAATCGACCGAATTTGAGGGTGTGAGGCATCCCGAGGCTAAGCAATGCCAAATCTCAACCCGAGAGTCTCGCGAGTGTCAAGGCCAAGCAGCCGGAACCCTCACCATCCTCGAGTTTAGCAAACAATCAGCACTGCCAAATTCGGCGCCTGTCTCACACGCCTCTGCTCTGCCAGGTACTGGTTGTATTCTCGCTCCTGCTCTGACACTATTGATACTTTGGGCGGAGGGTTTGGGCGCAGGCTCGATGATCCTGCAAGGTTCTAACTTCCCTTGGTTTCCCCATCGCCTGGCGTTAGGGGTTGGTTTGGGATGGTTTCAGTTTGGGGTATCTACATTCATGAAGGCCGGCCAAACGAGGACTTTCTCTCAAACGGACGGCGCATGACCCTCGCACTGCACACCCTTACCTCTCAACCCAAATCCTGAATCGTCAACCTTGAAGTCAAAACGTGCGTCGCGGCTCCTTCTGGCGGAACTCATCCCGGAACTTGTTGCGCTCCTCTGCAGAACTCTCGGGCACCCATTTTTGGTGTCTTCTATGGCCCAGGGTTCGCGACAGGAGCCGACATACCCCGTGAACCTTGAAGATCGAGGCTTTGCAAAAACGCAGCCCACGGACCCGAATCCCAATTCCAACTCCTATTCCTGGCCGATTCTTGCTATTTTTGACTCGCCGTGCCACGCACGTGCTAACGACTGTCCCCACCATGGTTCTGACAGCGAACTGGTCCTACGGGCAAATCTGTCCTACCGATCATGATGACAGTGATCACGGCGGCGATCATGACGCTGCCGGTGACTGCATGAAGGTCATGAAAAGATGATGACAAGTGGGTTGCGTGGGTGATGGTGCAGTAGACGGCCAAGCGCGTCACAGTGAGGACGATGATGATGATGATGATGCGGCGCCGCCAAAAAGCCGGGGATCCTCGATTTTCGCCTTCAGCTCATCGCTCACTGCACTGCGCTGGTTCTGAATCTCCTCTGGTGAACCCGAAGACACACCCTAAGTCGTTGAGGTTAAGGGTCTTAAGGGTCTGGGGCTTTAGAGTATGGAAGTTCACAAGGCGTCGCTTGAGACTGCCGGGCGCGAGGTGCAAGGCCGTTGATTGGGTCTTGAGTTTATTAGGAGATGTCGTTTCCTGCTTGGGCTCTGCGGCCAACATTCAAACAGGAGTGCTTTTTGAACCAATACACGCCTTCAATCTCGTGCCCCGCTACCACGAACGGTCTTGGAGTCCTGGGAAAAAGCAAGGAAGCCAGTCAACCTTCCCATCCCAAGGAAAAGCTCTAAAGCAGACCCGCAACACGGACAATACAAACCTGTTCAGTAGCTTTCGCCAGCTAGCCCGAAGAACGGACAAGGAACGAATAGACCGTGAGCCATCATCAGCAACGCGCCCGAAGCCGCCACAGACCAAAGCCCAGTATCCAAGTAAACACTTTAAATGACAGGAGAACTATCTATATACATGATGCTACCCCCCAAAAACAACAAGTACTAATTATTAGGGCTCTGCAGCGAAGCCTGAAAACATGCTGGAAACCAATCCCTGAAGGCCTCGATGGGTCCCAGCTGCTGCTTGCGTGCCTCGGAGAGTTCGGTCATCTGATCCTTCGCGGTGGCATGAGAACAGCCATCCATGCTGACTGCGCAGCCAGAAACTGGAGCAGCGATGGTACCGAAAAATGAGCCAGCAGACATGGTGCCTGCAGCAAGCGTTGAATTGGCGATGGTGGGTGCCGATGGTCATGATGAGCATGAGGATGCGGATGAGGATGATTATTATGTTGATCAGAGGAAGAAGAACAAGAAGAAGAACAGCAACCAATCACAGTATCTGCTGCAAGGCGATGATTCCCCACCGACCCTTTTCGTACGACTCCCGTTCGCAGATGAAGAAGTAGAGACAAGTTTCACCGTCAAGGGTTGGGATGACCCAGCCTTTTTGAGGGAGGCACGCATGCTTCCTGAACCCTTGAAGTTCTAAACACTATCCAAAGACTCAGGCCCAAGGTCGTCCAGACCCTTTGCCCAAGACGGAACAGAAAACCAATGCGGCTGGTAAAGGACTGTGGGGGTACGGGTTTCGGGTGCAAGAGCAGTGGATTCGGGGGTTCTAAGCAGAGCTTAGTTGAGCTGAGTCCTGAATCTTACGCTTCTCGTCGCGGTACCTGTTCATCTCCTCGTTGATGGCATCCTGAAAGCAGTTGCTGGTTTTCCCTGGAAAGTCTTAGAGTTCGCCTTCCCAGGGGTCTTGATGATTTTAGGTCCTACGATCTGTGGGACTGTCGGATATACGTTAGCGCTCCCGGATGAGCTTCTAGACATTTTCTGAAACTGCCATGTCGAACGATGGATTGGCCTGCAAAATATCGATCTTTGTGGGCCTAGGGTTGAGGGACTTGACAGAAAACGACTAAGCCTGTTCTTGCTCCTACTCGTGAACAGAAAGCGGGCACGAAAAGCACAGCGAGCAGGGCTACCAAACCACAACGAGTGGAAACTCGGTTCTAGGGATGGGGATGTCTGGTCTAGGGCTCGGAGCTGCAAGGTTTCACAGTTTCGCTTGGGGCTTTGGGTCCCAGAGTTGGCATAATGAGGAGGGCATACCATGGACTATGCATCCCCATCCTGGTAACGAAAACCAAGCTCCTTAACGAGAACCCAGCTTTGCGATAGAGGGGTTTGCGGGTCTACGGTCTACGCGGTTTGAGGTGGGACTCCTACAGTAACCACACTCCCGCCTTCTGCTCCTTCATGGACATCGTCGGGTCAACCGTGGAAAGGTTCCTGGGCTGACGACAAAGCTCCGCGGCAATCACGAACCCTGGACACTAAACCCTGAGTCTCGCAACCTAAACCCTTGGTCATTCTTTTAAGGTTCTACCCCTGTCTCTAAACCCTAAACCCCTTGCTCCCAAAAACCGTAAGCAGACCATGACCACAGGCCCTGACCCTTAGACCGTCTGACAAACTCTCGGCAGAACTCGGATCGGATCCCCAACCAAGCCCGACAAATGAACGATAGCCCTGGCCCTCACATACACCACATGAGGGGTAATGTTTGAAAGCCAAGCTGGCTCCTGGCCGGGGGTTGCGCTTTGAGTTGTGATTGTCGGAAAACTTTCATTGCTTTCCTCACCACCTAGGAAGCCACATGAAACCCCATCAACCGGATATCAACCGGTTTACGGTACCTTCAACCAAGCTCCCAAGCGAGAGACCAACTTGGAAACCGTCATTCCTTCTCAAAGCGCTTCACAACCTGAGCCTCCGAAGCCCCAACTAACGTACCTAATTAAGCACTCTAGATGCTGAGGCGAAGGAATTCCGGGGCCACATTCGACCTTCGCACTTTGGATCGCCAAGGCTCTGTTCCATCTGCTGCATGTGACTGACCTGAGGAAGCCCCGTCGCGGTTTAGGGTGAGGGCCGAAAGTTGAAAAGCTCCATTTCAAGTGTTCTCGGGTGTCTTCACCGAAGTGAGTTCGTCTCTGTGAATGAGGTCAAGGCTTGGGTGTTGAAGGCTGGAAATTGGGGTCTGAAGGTCTTGGTTCAAGGTTTAAGCCTTGGATTCAGGATTAGAAGAGGACGGCTCAGAGTCTTATGGTTTGGATTTTCAACCGTAGAGTTGCTCGTGGGCTTTATGCTCAAGAGGTGAGCGTTTAATTGGGCAAGGCGAACCCTGAACCCTGAACCTCAAAATCTTATGGAATCTTGAACTCAAGAGCAACAGCCAGCCCCTGCCACTCTATGCTACCTGCCAGCCCTGGAAATCCGGATTTTGTCAAAACTTCCAACTCGACCTGGCCCTAAACCTCAAAACCGCTGCAAACCCCGAAGCGGAAGTCTAAGCCAAGCGCCACAGCCAACCCCCAAATCAATTCAAAACCCCAAAAACCGCCTAAGTGACCAAATGCACAGGCCTTGGATCGGTTCTTCTTGAGCTGCTGGATCTCGGCCAGGAGCTTCTTCTCCTCCTTCACTTTCGGAAGGCTTCAAAGAGTTCGGGGAAGTGGTGCGGGCTGGCATCAACCAGGGCTTCACGGGTTTCGTGCTTGCGTTTGACTTTCAACTTCGGGCCTCCCAGGCGTTCAGCCGTAGGGATTCCACGCTGCTTAGCTACTGATTTCAACAAAACCCTGTGCCTGAAGATAGCAGGATTTAGGAGGACTCCCAACGCGAGTCTTCTCCCCAAGCGCAAGCGCAAGCTTCTTCCGTATGCTGTGCCTTCGAAGCCTGGCCCTCCACACATGGCTGCAACGTCAACACTCCAAGAAGCACCCCGAGCCCGAGCCTTGAGAGGAACCGACTCGGTGCAAAGCCTGGCCGCAGCGCTTGTGGCTACGAAAGCATGGAAATTCTAGATCTGCAGACAAAGGTTGGTTGCAACGTCTTTGTTAGAACCTCCTACGCTTCGGTCAGCCGATGTCAGCCGGTCAGCCTGCGTGGAACCCCCGCATATTCGGTTCCCATACCTGGAACCACATCTCGCGCCAAGCGCTGAAGCACAAAAAAGACGACAACAGACAAGGACCCAAAAACACACATACTAATCGCAACAACAAGATCACGAATCCGCTTGCCTCCAACAGAAAACCGCCAAAGTCAAACGTATGACAACCCTAGATGCAGACCCCTCTAACTTAATAGCACCCCCCCTCTTCACGCACCCTTACACTAAACCTTAGGGGCGGCCGAAGCGACTGAAACTCGATGGAAGCGATGCGGTTATCGATGTCCGCCTCGCTGGAAAAGCCAATGGACTTCCTTGGCAAAGGCTGGGAAGCATTGTCTTGCTTGTTTACCATGGCTGAGGGCTGAGAGTTCGGCCTTTTTCCTTGAGAGTTTAAGATTGGTATGTGAAACATGGGTCAAGGCCTTCGTCATTCAGAAGCCTTACACCGACAAGCCGGAGATCCTGACTCCTTCACTCCGAAGGTCGACTCTGCAACTCGCAACCCCACAGCCCCTATCAAGCCCAGTCCAGGGCTCCCTTTCTCAGGTTGGCCTGTCTGTTTGGCATCTGGGTTCACTGCAGAGACTGCGATTCGGCGCTCTGCGGGCAGAAGCCCCTAAATTCTGACTTCGGCAAAAGCCCGGAAAGTCCCGGAAGCTTTGTAGCCCGAGACGCTTCATCGTGTTGAGGCTATTTCGCTTCTCCCGCTCCTGCGAGTCGAGGACGGGGGGGATGAACTCAGTTCACGAGGAGGTCCCGAAGCCGATGGGCAGACCTTCGAAGGCTCGGGGGATGCTTCAGACAGCCCGGGCCCCCGAAGATCACAGCCTATGCGAGGACGATGAAAGTCGCACGCAACATCCAGCACGGTGTGGAACGATGGGATTCGTCAGCACACAACTTTGACAGTTTAAACTGAAACACTGGCTGCCATGAAGAATCGGCTCGAACTGAAGAAAGAAGGTCCTCGTATTCAATAATAAGGAGCCCAGCGGTCGCAAGTACCTCAAAAGAGAACCGCAATTTCGAAAAGCCTCCACGTCGGCTCCTCGTCGCGCTTACTGCCAACCGCCCTGTTGATCTCCTCCTTCCGAGCCTCGCGCGCGAGCTTCGCAACGAAAATTACAGGAATCCTGAACCACGACCAGCAAACTCTGCCCTGCGCATCGAAGACTAGGAGCTCTCAAACATTCTCAAAGCCTACATCCCTGAAGCCTTGAATGCACAAATGCACAAAACCCTCTCTTATTTTTCAGGCCAAAGGCCCTAAGGCCCGATGCCTGGAGCCCGTCGATCTTGCCACTCAGCTCGTCCAGCTGCGCACGGAACTCGGCCTGAGATGCAAATTTTCTCGAAGGCCCTGGGGCTGCATGACATGAGTCATCAGAACTCCTATTTCGACACCTGCATTCTCGGCGGCACCATGCCCGACAATTGGGAAGACCTCTAAGGTACAAGAGCTCTCAACTTCCTTTTAGGAACAGTTCAGCCAGCGGAGATATGAACAGCAAATTACAGAAAGACCTTCCACCGAACACAATAACTCGTATCGAAACCTGCACACCCTGATCCAGTCGAAAGTCTGCCCCGAGCCTTGGCACAAACATCCCAAAGACTCCCAAACTCCAAACTGCAGCAACACTCCGTAAATCAAATCAGCTATCCTTCATCTGAGAAATATTCTGAATCTATATAAACCGTTAAGCATGCCTCATACGTCCCGTTAAAACCCGCTCACTTATTAGGAAAGACCAGCAAGGGATCCCTACCACGGGCTATTGGAGTCTATATGAGCACATATACTCCTCGCCTTCTTGGCATAAAACTCGTCCTTTCCTCCGGAATGCTCCTGGGGCGATAGTTGCGAATGCAAGGGTTTAGAGCGTAGGCTTATAGTTTGAGGGTTTCTCGGGCTTGAGGTTTCGGGTTAGGCCCAAGATTTTGCAAAATGTTGAATGCCAACTCTGCAGATTCTAAAGAACCCTTCTCTGAATTTTCCGTGCGTCCTGGATGCCTCATGCATCCTAACCCGGAGTCCTGAATCTTTTCGGACAAAGCCTTCTGCTTGCTTTGCAGCTTGTCGATCACCGTCTTGAACTTCTCGATCTGATCGGAGGAGCGGCTTGCGATCAAGACTTCGTGGGTTTTGGGTGGGGTTGCGAATGGCGTTCCTACGCCTTCTGCCCTCGTTGGGTTTAGCACCGCGGTAGGCAGAGTCTTCTTTGTTTGACCTGCGCAATCTACGGAAAAAAAAAGGTTCAGCACCGCCCATGCAGGGCCACAACCATATGGTGTCTCAACAACATACATCTCGATGCCCCGAAGCCTACCTTCCAATTTTCAGAATTTCACAACGATCAAGGCTTTATGCGAACTCCTCCGGCCCACGATGCTGAAGCTGGGTGTACGTTATATCACGAGGTTCCAAGAGCCGCCTCGGCATCGAATTCTTCGCGGTTCGGCGGCGCCACTTTCGGCTTCTCTTCCTCTTTTTGACGGCACCATACATAAAAACAACATGTGTATGTGTATCTCTGTATGTATATGTATATACATATATATATATATATACTTAGGTGTCGTATTATGTATGTATATTGAAAAATGTTTGTATGTATGTATGCATGTATGCATGGATGTATGTATGTATGTATGTATGTATGTACGTATTATGTATGCATGTACATATGTATGCTTGTATATATGTATGTATGTATGTATGTATGTATGTATGTATGTATGTACTGATGTACGTACGTATGCATGCATGCATGCATGCATGCATGTACGTATGTTTAAGCATCTCGGCTCCGACATGTGTGGAGCACGTAAAGGGCCTTAAAAAGTTCTGATTTGGCGGGTCGGGCTTTCGCGAATTGTGCGTCAGGATCTTCTGCTTCTTTTCAAGGCTTTCTCCTTCGGTGACATTTGGATGCCTCCACGGTACCCATGGAATCCATGGAATTGGTGGCGCTCCATGGGTCGAACAAACAGCCCAGGAACTTACGAAACCATTGGTGCCCAGACCTCTGGCAGACATGGTGCGTGAGCTGGTCATCCAGCAACTCTATTTGGGCAGTTGGCTCAGCCAAAGCCGTGCACGACAGCGAAACGAGGAGGGCAGGGCCCATTGTCAGCATGGAAACGACTCCGGTCCAGGAAGTCCAGAAAAAGGGGCCATATGATGGCCAGTCCCTGTTCCCGGTCCAAGGCGCAGGAGATGGGTCTACTGGTGGAGCCCTCAGCACAGTCCCAGGCCTACGTTGGGAACGTCAGGGTGGAGACTCTGCAGCCGGAGGGTTTCCGACAGACCGACATGTTCATCTAACGTGCGACGCGCACAAGTTCAGCACACCGAACCTCCAAGCACAGGAAGTTCAACGCCAATGTTCGCTTGGCTGCAACGGCTGCCGGCTGCAGGCCAAACACTTTTTTTAGGAGTGCCATGGAGTCCAGTGCCACGGCGCGCCTCGCGGCTCCGCAAATATACCTGGATATGTGCAAACTTGGGCTCCCAACCACAAAACGATTTCAACCTTACAAAACACGTCCAGAATGAGGCCTCCAGCGGCTTGTGGACAATGCGCTCTGCCTAGGTGGCGGGACACAAGCCACAGCTTGATGTGCGTGAGCCCTGCCACTGGCCACTTCTTAACCAAACCACATCCAGCAGGTCTGCCCTTGTTCGGCAGAGTCGCTGCGCAGAATGCAAATGAAAGTGCATGAAGCGGCCGCTGACATACGCCGAGGCGCACCAGGAGGTCGCATGGGGCGCACTCCTCGCCACCGATCTCGATGCTTTCAATCGCCATCCACAGCGCATCTGTGAGGGAATGGACGTGTTCTCTAATGTATATGCTTCACATGACAGAACGCACTCACTCTATTTTCCGCTGAAGGTGCAAAGAAGTGCGATGCGTTTGAAGGCAGAAGCTTTGTCTGGGCAAAGCGATGCCGGGAAGCAATCCGCCCCAGGGTGGGAGGGTGAGTAAAAAATTTGAAGCTATGCTTTGCCAAGCATGGATGCTGTGTGTTTCTATGTTAAGCCCAAACACAGCGAGAGGCATATGTAAGACACAACATAGAAAACACTGCTGATATAACATAAAAACCCACAGCAAGCGTCCTCTAATGTATATGCTTCACATGACAGAACGCACTCACTCTATTTTCCGCTGAAGGTGCAAAGAAGTGCGATGCGTTTGAAGGCAGAAGCTTTGTCTGGGCAAAGCGATGCCGGGAAGCAATCCCCCCTCTTTAGTACGCAGTTCTTGCACCTCTCACTGTAAGCCCCCCACCGCGCGAGGTGGAGGACTGTGTACCTGCGGGCACGAGGCGTGCAGAAAGCAAAGTTGTCAGAAGAAGAAAAGCACGCAGTGCAAGAGTCTTTTTCCCTACCCCGCGCTAAGGTAGACTGAAAGGCTCAGCGGAGCATGGCTGTCTGGGCCTTGCGAAGGCCAGAAGGCCAATTCCTGGACATGTCATGCAGCGTGACGCAATGCGATGCCGAGGCCAGTTGTGCGAGGCCAATGCGTACTCTCTCGCCTGAGCGGTGCGAAAGGAAACCAAGGCGGCCTCTGCTGAGCTTGTCGGCCCAGACGTTCTTTTCACCTGCCAGATGCTCTACTTCGAACTGGACCCGGTGCAGGTGTGCCCACGTAGCAGCCAGGCGAAGAAAAGTGCCAAGAGGCTCTGCAGTGCTGAAAAGCTTGTTCAGCCCACTTTCGGCGCTAGTGTTGTCCGATGCAGTGGGTAGCACGAAGCGGACGAAGCGCACATGCTTGCTGCGGAGCTCCTGCCAGGAGCACTGTGCGAGGGAGAGCTGTGCAAGCGTCTCAAAACAGCCGATATAGGGCTGCATGGACCCGTGAAGCTGGGGCCATTGTGCCCTGACTTCATCAGCGGAAAAAATTTCGCTGAACCAAACGAAGGCTGTTGCTGTGCTGAGCCAGCCTCCTATGCCCATTTTATCTGTGTCGGCGAAAGCGTCTGCCGCACTGTAGCAATGCATGCGTGGGGCAGTGCGAAGCGATCGAGGCTGTTCGTGGGCGAAGCAGAGACTGAGCCATGCGAGCACAAACTTGCTCTCTTGGCGCAAGTTGTTAATTTCGCCGTAGGGCCTAAC